TGAGACGGTAGTTGTAGTCTGACGGAGGTCAGTTTACAAACCCTTCCGCTGAGCTTTACTTCTCTTATACCTGTTTCTTTTCCCCCAAGGTGACAAAAGCTGATGACATCATCGTGTCCACGAATCATGGCACGGGCGTGTCAGTCGTGAAGGTGGGAGTGGCTTCATTCAGTTTGATTGACATTTATCTCAGTGAAACGTCCCTTTAACTCGTCCTGACTGTGTCTCCAGCTGAAGACGGTTTATTACAGGTCCACCACGTCCACGGAGAGGTGTAACTTTGACACCAGCATAGAGATAGTCGGCTCCGACGTCTCCGAGGGTAAGTACCAGTTTACCTGCACGTACCTGTCTCTGTACCTGTGCTTCCACCTGTCTGTTCACAGATGACATTTGTGCTCCTCCCCCTCAGATCTCAGTCTGAGTGCTCCTCACCTGGTCGCCTGTGCAAAGTAACTGAAACTCACTTTTTACCTTTATAAAAATATTCATATAAATAAAGTGATTTCAGGTCGTCTGTCCCCTCAAAGCCAAAACGTGTGTGTGTGTGTGTGTGTGTGTGTGTGTGTGTGTGTGTGTGTGTGTGTGTGTGTGTGTGTGTGTGTGTTACAGGTATAAACCTCTTCCTAACGAGGTGAACACAGATTCCAGTATGACAGTGATGAATATCCAGCTGCCGACAGGTTTGGAGGCGAACCTGGACGACCTGAGACAGGTGAACTCTCCGCCACAATCCAACAGCTTTAGTGTGTAAACAGAGACTGAGGTTTCCCGCCTCCGTGTGATGAATTCACCTGGATGTTGTTGTTCAGTTCAGAGACTTGGACGAGCCGCTCATCTCCCACTACGAACTGAAGGGAAACACCGTGGTCATTACGATGGACTCAGTGAGTCACACACACAACAAAACATCCTGATCCAGATACACACACACACGTATGTATGTGTCTATGTATATACATACATGTACGTTTATTCATACATACATACTTTACATATATAGTCTAGTATACATACTATACAGATATACTTTCTTCTTTCTATTCTTTCTAGTTATTGTTGGTATATTTGGTATTTGATTTATTTATTTATATTACAGATAGATGTATATACAGTATATAACCTGTCGGGTGTCAGGTGTCAGGTGGTTTGTGTGATTGACAGTTTTCTCAGCAGCCTGAGTGAACATGAAACCTGACACGCTGAAGATCCAGAGAGACTGGAATGTTTGTACCTGTGGTCTCACCTGGCTGTGATGAGCTGCTTCACAGAGTTGTTGTGACATTCAATAAACGAGACGTAAGTTTGATTTGTTGTGTTTCGCCATCAGGTTCCCTCTGACGTCTTCCTGTGCGTTGGTTTTCGGGTCAGGACTGGGTTCAAGGTGAGCGGAGCCAGCGAGTCCCTGTTCCAGGTCTACGAGCCTCTGGACAAAGGTGAGAGTAACAACCTGCTGTGCATCCTGGGATCTGTAGTCTTTATCGGGTTAAGCGTGTTACTGTGTTAAGCGTGTGTTATGTTAAGCGTGTTACTGTGTTAAGCGTGTTACTGTGTTAAGCGTGTTACTGTGTTAAGTGTGTTACTGTGTTAAGCGTGTGTTATGTTAAGCGTGTTACTGTGTTAAGCGTGTGTTATGTTAAGCGTGTTACTGTGAGAAGCCAATGATTGAGGAATTACAGCGTAAGCTTGTATAGTTCTGGGGCCACCAACATTTTTGAGATTTTCAAAGGGCCACGAGTTGGAAAAGGTTGAGAACCACTGGTCTGTAGAAATAACAACAATCTGACGTCATAATTCTGTTCTTGTTGAAGTTAATTCAGATTTTCTAGTTTATAATCGTCAGATACTGAGAGTTTTCTTTCTTACAGAGTCAGACTTCCTCTCTGGACTCTGGACGTCACGTCTGTTTTATTTCTGGAGGTTTGAGCAGTTTATTGAGATGAAGAGGAGTTCATGTTTTACAGTCACATGTTGTGGATTTAGATTTTTTTTCAGACCAAATACTTTAATTATTGTATTATAATATATTTTCCTCCGTACCGCAGACTAACACAGCCAGCGGGCGAAGAAGGTTTTAAACAACGTGTAGCTCGGACTGCAGGGAGATCAGAGTCACACAGAACATGACTCAACAGTAAGCGAGTAATGATTCTTCTCTTGCAGGCAGCATGTGCACCAAGCAGTTCTCCAACCAGGAGCAGAAGCTGCAGCGCCTCTGTCTGGGAGTAGAGTGTCAGTGCCTGACAGGTAACGTCTCCCTCTGCACTGTGGAGAAAACTTCACCGGCCGGGTCCTTTTTTATGTTTTATAAAGAGCAATAACAGATATACTGTCGATATTTCTGGTCCAAAACTCTCTCAGCGACGGGCCCCGCCTCCGCCTCTGATTGGCTGAGAGTGGCTGTCACTGACATCACTGCAGCATCATCAGGAGTCAGAACAGCTGCTGGTTGATGAGATGTTTGACAGATAAAATGTATTATTATTGTTATTGAGTATTTATGACTACAGCTGAAACTTCCTCCATGTTTCTATAAACCAGGAAGTTGATTTTCAGACGTGACCTCTGGGACAGGGGGCGGAGCCTCCTGGGGCCGGTTTCACAAGGATATTTCAGACTGGTCTGTGGAGTTAGTCCAGATCAGTCTGGTGTCAGTCAGACTGATTCACAAAAACAAAGACTGACTGGTTTTAAGACGGAAACATTAGACACCTCACCCCCAGACTAACGTTACCACGGTAACAATCAGTGACACCTGCTCTGACCAGTAGCGCCCAACAACAAGAAACAGGAACACATGGCTCATGGTTTGCTAACGTTTTGGAGAGTGCAAAAAGAAGAGAGAGAGTTTTTAGAGACGGTAGCTGTTCACAAACAGGCCGACAGCTTTAGACGTAGCACTTATTCAACACGATTTCTCATTGACTTTGTTAAAAAAAACTGACAATAGAAAAACTGATTTCAAAATAAAAAGTGTTGTTTCCATGTAGTTATTCCCGATATACATGATACAAGTTAAAGATATCTGGGATTCTGTTTTTATAATCGTTCGAGGTCAGAATCATAATTGAAAATAAAATTTGATTAATTGCCCAGCTCTATTTAGACGTTTGAAGTCTGACTTTATTATTATAACCAACCCACAGTTAAAGTCTCTTTGTGAAACTGGCCCCTGGAGCAATGACTGTGGTCCAGACCAAACTATCTTCTGATTAGAGTGTTGGCTAATGTGCTAGCTAGTCATGTGACTCCATAGAACAAACAGCAGAGGTTGTCAGTGTTTTTAACAAGCTATCGCTACATTAACACCTGAGATGGGGGGTCTGCAGCCCCCCTGTGAAACTGGTGCTCTAAACAAAATGATATTACATGACCACAGCAGCAAATGAGCTTCTTTATACTATTTTGTCCAAGATACATGTGATTATATATATAATGGAGAGATGGGGCAAAAACTGGAGGTCACCAGAGGTCAGATACAAACTGCCTCCACATCTGAAATAAAACCTCGGTGTGAAGATTATCTGCTGAAACGTTCATGTTTTAGTCATAAGATGCAGAGTTGTACCTGCTCAACTATTTACTTGTAACTGTCTGTTGATCACTGTCTGGCAGCTGCCTGTGCTGCATACAGAGGAAACATGGACCTGACTCTGACAGTGGCCAAACGCATGAACGAGACCTGCCAGCCTCACATCAGCTACGGTGAGAGAGCGACCAAATACAAAAATAATACTAAATATTTCACCTCCTGGTTCAAGGATTTCAAGGTTTTCAAGGAGCAACTTCAAGATATGAGGAGTCATTAAATGAGCTACATGTCAGTTTTCTCTGTCGCTGAATGTGGTTTCTTGGCGGGAGAAGGTGGTGGTGATGGTCACATGACCAGAGCTTCAGCCATTGTTGCATTTACAAGACAAGAGGTTATAATACGTCCTCTGAGCAGCAACGTGTTCATGGCAGACTGGACGCTACAGTGAGTATACGGCTGTCAGTGCTAATTCTAGCTATGTAGCAGTAGCAAAACTTGCTGAACGTGTACAGTTCAAGGACAGATTAGGTGAGTTTTCTAGCTGACCTGAGACTGTCAGGTAGGTCAAAGAAACAGACCAACACTTTACAGAAAAACAAAATGAGAATGTTTTAGACATTTTATTTGCATTTAAATGATTTAGATGGTTCAGTTTCTTTTAACTTGGATTTTATTTGTGGTCGTGAGAAGAAGAAGAAAGGTGAGTATACAGACAGTCAGACAGGTTGTAAACAAACCAACAGGTGAGACAAACTTATTTGGAAACAGGTGAACAGTAAAATTATTACCTGAACTGTGTCTTTTCAACCGAGATAAAACAGATAAAAACATTCTGTTTCCTCCCTGCAGCCTTTAAGGTGGACGTGAAGTCTTCAGCAGCAGAAGGAGACTTTATGACCTACACAGCCACCGTAGTTGAAGTCATGAAGAACATAGATAAAAGTGAGACACAGCTAGTTTCCGTTTTAAAACTCATCTTCACCACATTTCCTGAAGGTCACACTGTCTTGTCTCATGTCCTGAAGCGTTTGACGAGGTGCGTTCACGTACGGAGGTGGACCTGGTAAAAAAGGCCACCTGCAGCGCTGTGGACATCCAGATCGGCAAACAGTACCTGGTGATGGGAGCCAGCGGGTCAGAGGTCACACTCAGCACCGGCTCTAAGTCAGTGTCTCTCTACCTCTCTCTCACCTGTAGTTCTTCCTGTGTGACCTCACTCTGACCCGCTGTGTTGTGTTCGTATCCTGCAGGTTTCGTTTTGCTCTGGACTCGGAGGCCCTGGTGGAGCTGTTGCCGACAGACTGTAATTCTTCTCCTGACTGTGCAGACTACATTTCCCAGCTGGAGGAGGTTTCTTTAAAGCTGCTGGTAGAAAACTGCCAGGACTCATCATAACTCTGCAGCAGAACAGCTTCACTTTTTAACGTAATACTCATGAGAGCTGTGTGGATAAAGATAAACCTACACTGATAAACAGGAAACACGTGACCACAGTGAACTGTACAGACAAATGTAGCTTTATTCGCTTAACAATCACAATGTAAATGGATTTTATTTCTCCTTTTTCAAACTGTGCCATCATTTATAATCTGCCAGTAAAGATGTAAAGAAGTGTCGTGGCTGTCAGTGTGTGTGTTCAATGACCTCCTTTATATTTACCCTGCTATACGTGACAGTTACATTACATCCCCAGACAACCAGGAAAAAGTGTGAGTGAAAAAGTTTTTGGAGGAGCTGAAATAATAACTGATATTCTGCTTCAGTGGTGAAAATGTGAGATTAATCGAATTATTGACCCAAATGATACAGAGGAATTAAGCCTGTGTCTTTTTTTGTTTTGTTTTGTTTCTGTTTAGGAGACATGAAGTGTATTTTTTAAATTGAAAATGTATGGGCACATCATACATATGAACAAGCATAAGCATGGTGAATAGTTCATCAGAACAAATATATTAACAAATAAACAGTTTAACAACCAAAGGAAAATTAAAGATCAAAGAAATAAAAGTATATAATGTATATGAGGGTATAATGTTAAATGAAACTATTATAATGTAAGCAAGCATTACATGTCTTAATTGCTTTTCTATTTGTACTTCTAGAAATGGTAGATATATATTTTTCAATTTCTAAAATCAGGAAATAATGGTTTATTATTTGAAAACTTACTCTTATGGATGTGTGAAATTTTGCATAAAAAAATAACAAGATTTATTAGATAAAACTTATTATCAACCTCAGTATTTGGGTCATGGAAACTGAATATTACATACTCCCATTTTAGGGATAAATTATTGCAAACTCTGGACGTAATAAAAGCAGTCAGTTCCTTCCAAAGGTTCCTGGATGCAGTTCCAAAATAAATCTGTAATAGTCTCAGATAGTGAGTTGTATAAAATCTGTGTAATAATTCAAAGGAAACCTCTTTTATTTTGTCATTAATGAGGAATCTGTGCCGCNAAAAAAATGTGACTTTCACCACAGACTCTGAACAAGTGATCATACGCTTACGCTGCCTTCGCGTGGTGTCGGAAACATCACGACTATCCTTTTAGCGCACATTAAACTTGGCGGTCAACGACCCGAAATAAAAACGATCCTTTACAGACACAGCCGAAGACTAACATTGAATTTTATGAAAGAGAGTCGTATGATCACTGTGGTGTGTGTGTGTGTTCAATACGACTCTCTTTCATGTTCTGTTTTCAAAGAACCAGCAGATCTCTCAGGGAGGGACTAAGGTGAGGCATATGCAAAAAGGTGGGGAAAATACGAGTTTAATAACAGACCCTGAAGGCACCACCCACCTGCGGCTGCTGCTCAGTTTGAACAGACGGAGGATTTTGTGGAAACTGCTCGTTGTTTTTGCTTTGTGCTCAAACATGTCCGTGTTTTCCACGCGGTTGTCCCCGAGTTGTCAACACAGTTAACGGTATTCAACCGGCGGCTTTGTGTCGGCGGGTTCCCATGGAGACGGAGGATTAACTATCCTCAACCTGGCTAACGTTAGCAAAGGTAAAGTCACCGATAACCGTCCCGTTTGTCCCGTTTGTCTCTCGCGTTTCCAGGACGACGGTTGGAAACTCAGCCTGAACTAACTAGCTGATTAACTAACTTACTAACTAACTGAAGTTACCACCGGTTAAAGGAAGCGTTTGGTTTCTATGGTGACCGAAGAATGACGCGCTAACCAGGCTAAAGCTAATTATCTGAAAACTTTACATTATAACGGCCCAGCTTTCCCAGTAAGACGGTTAACTGGTTATGTGGTTGATTGGTTAACTCATTACAGACTAGTTTAGTTTGCGAGTAAACTAACTTAACTTTACAGCGCTGCTTTTATCTGACATCTGTGCAGATAGATAGATCTTTACACACAAAACGTGAAGTTTATAAAATATGCTGTTATAAATTAAATCGATCAGTCAAATCAATCGGCAACTATGTTGATAATCGATTAATAATTTTTCATGCAAAAATAACATATTCCGATTTCAGCTTCTCAAATTTGAACTGTTTCTTTTAAATTAACATCAATAATTTGAGTTAATTTCTATTTCTAGTTAATTTTTGTAAACCAAACAATCACTTAATTGATCGCTAATCAGCTTACTTTTACTTAAGGGGGGATCTGAATGCTTCTTCTTTACTCTCTCCGTCTGTCTCTGTATTTTTAAACTTGTCTGTCTTTTCTCCCTCATGTCTGTCCACAGTTTGTCCAGCTCTCTGGCCTGGAGATGGAGGAGCAGAGGGAGGTGGAGGGAGGCGCAGACTCTCAGGACAACAGAGGAGGTAGAGGAGGAGACCTGGAGTAAAGGTTTTTAAAACGGCAAGACTCACAGACTGTTTCTAATCTCCTCTCCTCTCCTCTCCTTGTTTCCTCTCCTCTCCTCTCCTCTCCTCTCCTCTCAGGTATCAGGTATATCACAGAGGAGTTGTTGTTGAAGCTGACAGGTTGTCGGTCTCTGGCTCTCGTTCGTTCTCTGAATCTGTCGTCGTCAACTGCAGATAAACACATCAAGGTCAGAACAAACTGTCTCGTCTCTCTGTCTCTCTCTCTGTCTCTCTCTCTCTGTCTCTCTCTCTGTGTCTCTCTCTCTCTCTGTCTCTCTCTCTGTGTCTCTCTCTCTCTCTGTCTCTCTCTCTGAAGAGAGAAAAGAAGAAAGCTATTTGTCAGTGTTTCTGTGTTGGAGGTGGGCGGTGTCAAGTAGAACAGGTGAGGTAAATCAATACATTTTAATGGNGTCTCTCTCTCTCTGTCTCTCTCTCTGAAGAGAGAAAAGAAGAAAGCTATTTGTCAGTGTTTCTGTGTTGGAGGTGGGCGGTGTCAAGTAGAACAGGTGAGGTAAATCAATACATTTTAATGGCCACTAAATGATTAGTGACGTGTGGCCTGAATATAAGAATCCTGCTGTAGCAGTTAGCAGTTCTTTTTATTCAGACATTTTCTTTTTTAAGGATTGAAGTGTTATTTATGTGTGTGTGTGTGTGTGTGTGTGTGTGTCTCAGTTCATAGAGAACCTCCACGTCTGTCAGCGTCTGCAGGTTTTAAACCTGAACCACAACATGATCCAGAGGATGGAGAGACTCAACGCTCTGTCACAGCTGAGAGAGCTGCAGCTGGCCCACAACCACATCCAGTGAGACTCACACACACACACACACACACACACACACACACACACACACACACAGACTCTTTGCTGGCGACAATCAGAGTGGCAGACATTTTGTTTTCAGGTTGTCCGTACAGCGTCTCGTTCTCATGGACGTGATCTCTCAGTAACGCCAAAATAACACCAAATAGTGTGTGTGTGTGTGTGTGTGTGTGTGTGTGTGTGTGTGTGTAGGAGGATCGAGGGACTGGAGCACCTGTCCAGTCTGCAGCATCTGAACTTGTCCCACAATAGGATCGACCATGTCCCCTCGTGGCTGGGGAGGAAGCTGCGGTCACTGCACACGCTCCACCTCCAACACAACCTCATCACGTCTGTGAGTACCAGCTGTCTGACAGTCAGTGCATGTGTGTGTCCATCTGTGTTTCTGTCTTTGTGAGGACCAATGACTCTACGTAAAGATGGACGACATCACAGCTGTGCGAAAGTGAAGACGAATCTCCATTGCCCCCATAAACCCCGCCCCCCTGCACCTTAGCAGATGGGACATGGGCAAAACTAAAAACTCAAAGTGCACGTCAAAAAAGAAATTCTGATGTTTGTTCAAGTGTTCGACCTTCTGATAAGTTTGGTTGTAATCAGGGATGCCCCGATCCAGATCCAGATCCCAATACCGATCCCGATCCAGACTCAGATACAGATCCAGATCCAGATCCAGATCCAGATACAGATACAGATACAGATACAGATCCAGATACCGATCCAGATCCAGACTCAGATCCAGATACAGATCCAGATACAGATCCAGATCCAGATACAGATCCAGATACAGAAGATACAGATCCAGATACAGATACAGATACAGATCCAGATACAGATCCAGATAGCCTCTCAAGGTTTGATTTATGATGTGATTCCTTTTGGAAGATAAACAGCATGACAGAACTTCTTCTAATTTAGTAAAAATGTTCACGCGTTGTCCCGAGTTGTCAACACAGTTAACGGTATTCAACCGGCGGCTTTGTGTCGGCGGGTTCCCATGGAGACGGAGGATTAACTATCCTCAACCTGGCTAACGTTAGCAAAGGTAAAGTCACCGATAACCGTCCCGTTTGTCCCGTTTGTCTCTCGCGTTTCCAGGACGACGGTTGGAAACTCAGCCTGAACTAACTAGCTGATTAACTAACTTACTAACTAACTGAAGTTACCACGGTTAAAGGAAGCGTTTGGTTTCTATGGTGACCGAAGAATGACGCGCTAACCAGGCTAAAGCTAATTATCTGAAAACTTTACATTATAACGGCCCAGCTTTCCCAGTAAGACGGTTAACTGGTTATGTGGTTGATTGGTTAACTCATTAAGACTAGTTTAGTTTGCGAGTAAACTAACTTAACTTTACAGCGCTGCTTTTATCTGACATCTGTGCAGATAGATAGATCTTTACACACAAAACGTGAAGTTTATAAATATGCTGTTATAAATTAAATCGATCAGTCAAATCAATCGGCAACTATGTTGATAATCGATTAATAATTTTTCTGCAAAAATAACATATTCCGATTTCAGCTTCTCAAATTTGAACTGTTTCTTTTAAATTAACATCATATAATTTGAGTTAATTTCTATTTCTAGTTAATTTTTGTAAACCAAACAATCACTTAATTGATCGTATATCAGCTTACTTTTACTTAAGGGGGGATCTGAATGCTTCTTCTTTACTCTCTCCGTCTGTCTCTGTATTTTTAAACTTGTCTGTCTTTTCTCCCTCATGTCTGTCCACAGTTTGTCCAGCTCTCTGGCCTGGAGATGGAGGAGCAGAGGGAGGTGGAGGGAGGCGCAGACTCTCAGACAACAGAGGAGGTAGAGGAGGAGACCTGGAGTAAAGTTTTTAAAACGGCAAGACTCACAGACTGTTTCTAATTCCTCTCCTCTCCTTGTTTCCTCCTCCTCTCCTCTCCTCTCCTCTCCTTGTTCCTTCTCTCTCTCCTCTCCTCTCCTCT